CCTGCATTTTCTCTTGAAATGAATTTCCAAAGGCCGACCGATGAAATCGGGCGGCACACTACACACTTCTAGTTATTAGACTATAAAAATGCTTATGCTATTTTTGCTGTAATAGTTTTCTATATCACCCTTTGCCGTGCTCCTGCAGGTGATTGCTTATTATCCGATCTCGGTGTCAATGGAAGGAAATTAATGGCGAATATGTCCAATAGATTTGATCCATTCCTGTTATTGTCAGTTGGCGTTATTACTATTTCTGGAACATGATTTAGAAGTTACGGCCACTATACAAATTATTTATACATAGCGACGTAAAGGCTCATGCGTTTGTTATAGAAATAAAGCCCGCTTTCACGAACAGTTTGCATTACCAAAGTCAAGCGAACTATATTGTCGGACTGCGAATCATTATGTTAGTATACTACATTATGTCATGCATGACGTATACCTTCCAAGCATCTGCATGAAATAATCCAATCGTACAACCTTCTGATTGTGTACAATAAAACAATATTAACTGTTAACTGTTGAACTCTCTTGTCATGTGTCAAAATTCGCAAGATCACGGGTAACGCAAAATACTGGCTTTATAAACCCAGACACGAAACAAATCATATTTGTATCTTAGTAGCCCATAAAAATGGTCATACTTGAGCCGCTCAAGAAGGTATTTTTACCAAAGAAAATTCAGTTACCACGCAAGCCGATAAGTGAGACCAGGTGAGCACGCATCGCACTAGTTTTTTTTTTTTGAGATACGACTCATATTGACTTGTGTGAATTGTAGTCTTCCTTATCCGCTTGCCTCAGACGTATCTGTGCAGGAGTTCAACTCTTTCATCGAAAGCAAAGACAAAATTGGATATAAAATTGAGTACAATAACGGCACTGTATACATTGTCGATATGCCCGTAACTACTGTACACGAGGCAATTGTTGCTATGTTGATCACACTCTTCAATGTTCCAAACGGTGGCGTTCTCCTTTCTAATTCTCCACTACGAGTTTTTGGACAGCCATGTAAGGGAATTCCTTCCAGTTTACTTAATCTTTGGCTTATTGATTTCATATCATATCCTTCCCACACAGTACACAAAAGTCGGGACGGATACTATATGATGCCAGATGTCTGTGTCCAACCACATCATCGTTTCGTTCCTCGACCACCAGTCCCATACCCTGGGCCCCCTCCGAGTGATGCAGATGTACTTTGAATTTGTCATATCTATTGTTCATAGTTGATACAGGACTTTTTCCAGATACTGATTATAATATGGTTTATATAGGGAAACCCTTATTCGAGGATAATTGTTGAAATAGCCATGGCCCAAAGCTACCGCAGCTTAAAAGACAAGTGCGGGAAATGGATGCAAGAGCCGTATGTACGAACCGTACTCGGTATCAAGATTTACAAAATACAGGATACACGCAATACAGGATATAGAGATCGGGCCATGAAGGTATATCTCGCTAATTCGTTATTATATAATTTTTTATATTAATAGTTTTTCAATATCAGGCTATTCTTTGGCGACAAGGGGTGCAAACGCAAAAGGTAAGATTTACTTGTCTAGAGAGAAGGATTTATACTTCCTGTAATATTCAAAATTTTTTTATTATATGGCAGTGGAGTTTTGGGACCATCAACGAAGACGGATCTGTTAACGATTGTAACGCCCCAAACAACCCGCACTATATAGTCAACATTCCCGTCAGCGACGTATTTTACGATCCGCCGGTTCCTGCCATTGCATACGTTCCATTAACACCACCACCTGCTGCATTGATGGCTGCTAATATTACCATCGACTTGTATGAAGTCCAACAAAACGTTTTAATTTCCCAGCCCGATTAGGCAAAGATTCCCCTGTATCTTAAACCGTTATCACCAGCCCGTCGACTCTATTTTATCGAGTTTCGCAATATCAGCGTTTGATTTTCCTTGACTGTATAACTGACAATAGGCATTATTATGTTCGGACTTTCGCCCAACGACTACACATTGTTTATTGTAATAAACCAGAACAAAATTCATCATTTAAAAAGTCGAAAATATCTGTGAAAGAGCCAATTAAGTTCACCCAATTATCCCGAATCCGATAGTCTTCAAGAAACTTCCTCTAGACTGGGATGACAGTCAGTTTCTGTTATTTTCAATGTTCGGAAAAAAACTTACGTTGCTTGACTCAAACCCCCATAATCCACAGCAATATATCTTTTATCGCTCTCAACCCCCGTTTGAATAGTCGAGAAATCAATCCAGGCTTGGCGAGAATTCATGAATTACATTTGTGGTAAATGACAGAAGCCTCCTTGCTGTTGTAGAAGTTGAGATTAAGAAAAGATAATTAAACAACAAATATTAAACCAGGGCCATACGCAGTCTTAATTGTGGTCACAATACGTCTTAACGACTTTTTTCTTGGTCAGATGAAGTTTGCGATCTAGAAATTTAGCCAATACTAATACAAGTAATACAAGTAATACCATATCTGACCACATCTAGTTATAATATACAATCGATTCATCAACCAGTAGGAGTTTAAAGAAACGAATCGAGATATGTACCCCCCATTACCCCCCCTTACACGAGTACTAAAACGAACAAGGGGAATACCTGGGGTACTCGTGTCGGTGAAATACGGTAATTGGTGTAAACAATGAGGTCA